TCGAAACGTTGACAAGGTCACATTAATTTCTAAACACATCCACCAATGCTGATTTGACGACATGCATCATGACGGTTACCACATGAGGTGCGGGAAACCCTTATCTTTACGGAGTAACTGTTTCCGTATTTCGATCTAGCATTCTAGCATTTTGCCTTTACCAAGTGCTAGTAATATAATTGTTTGGCTTAATAAAATCTTGGATGGCTACGTGATGGAAAGATATTATTTTTCTTGTTTAGTAAAGATAGAAAGTGACACAGGCCTATGGACCTATTGTTCAATATGACATCCACGTCTGTGTAGAAATACCCCATTAACACAATCTAAGTAATAAATCAAAATTAACTGTTTCACGAATTGTTAAGCTATGAAAATGGTTTCTAGTACGTAATCTGTACTAAAAGTTACACTGTAGATAACACTTGTGCGTGAGATTCAAACATAAACGATGACGAAACTATGTGGTGTTCAGTCTCCCGTGACGAAATTAGATAAGTGTCCTCTACAATAAACAAAAACAGGGAATACCTCATTGTAAACAAATCCGTAAATCAAACTCAAAATTGATATAACCAGGGCAAACTATGAACCAAGAAATTATTTACATGAAGACACTTGAATAATACTAGGAGTAAAGAATAGGTGTTTGGGAGGATACGCGTCGTCGCTTCATCGTCGTAAATCAAGGTCAAATCTGAGTATCGCCCGACCCCAAATCAAGAATCGGAGTTATAACAACGAAACAAGATAGGAAAACTACATAACAAATGTAGCAAGCAAGAAAGCTGAGCGATGTACTACAAAAATGTCCGAAATCGAGAATTAAGTTTATGAAGTATCTGCTATTTTTTTATAAATAAATTACAGATATTTTAAACCATTTTTGTTAAGTCATTAGGATTGACAGATTGTTACGAGACCTTCCGAACAGTAGACAGGCTTTTTCTAAACATTTTCTTCAGGTTGGTAGGTATGTCGTATGGATTATGAGAAGCTTTTTTACAAAACCAATAAAACTGTCTATGTGACGTTTTGATGACTAGTAGGATATGTACACTGTCACCTTCATCAGACAAATGACCAGTGAAGCGTATGCACACGAAGGTGTAAAATGTGTACGAGTTGTCCATAAAATCGATGTCGATTTCGGCTAAGCTGGACACGTATGTACAATAGTTGTTATATATGTACCGGAATCTTTCTGTCCAAAACTTTGGAATTATCCCAGTCAATCACATGGTTTTTCCGTGTGGCATGGTCTGTGGTTGCCGATTTATTTATCTGGGGCTCCGATTGTTTTCTTTCTGATCTGGTGAGTTTCTTACCTTTTGGGGTTTTTGTGTCTTTCCGGTGTTCACCAAGACGGACCCCAAATCGGCTTCCAGTCTCTCAAATATACGACGCTTCGCAATTTTTGCATCCGATTTTGTATACACATTCTGCGACGTTTTCTTTAGGTGTTTTATCCTTAGGGTGTACTAGGATATTGCGAAGCGTCTTGTGGGGCTTCATGGCTGTTGCTACGCCATGACCGCGATATATCCTCTGGATGGGTTCGGATATACCCTTTATATACGGGATGACCACTTGACCTTTGGTTTTGTTCTTATCCTTGATTTATCTTTTCTTGTTCTTCTTCTTACTTTGACATTTTTTGTTTACCCGTTTAATGGCCCATTCGGGATATGCACATGTTCTCATTGCCCTAACGATGTAATTCTGCTCTTGTGTTTTGTCCTGTTGTTTTGTGACTATTGTATCACATCTGTTGAGCAATGTGCGTATGACGCCTAACTTCTGGTGAAAAGGATGGTGATATTTCAGGTTAAAGTTCATGTGTTGGTCCTTATGGGTCTTTTCCTATAGACCAATACCTTCACGGTTCCGTCTTCTTCCTTTTCCAGTAAAATGTCTAGGAAGAGCACTGTTCCGTTGGTTTCTTCCTCACATGTAAATTTGATGTTGTTAGTGGCATCATGATGTTGATATGTGTTGTCAAATCTGTCTGTGGCCCCTTCTTGATTACCGCTACTGGTAAAAAAAGAAGACAGAATCGTGAATGTATTGGTCTATAGAAAAATGACCCATACGGACCAATACCTGAATTTCAAATATCACCATCCTTTACACCAGAGGTTAGGCGTCATACGCACATTGCTCAACAGATGTGATACAATAGTCACAAAACAACAGGACAAAACACAAGAGCAGAATTACATCGTTAGGGCAATGCTAACGAAATCGACATCGAGTTTATGGACAACTCGTACACATATTACATATTTGTGTGCATACGCTTCACTGGTCATTTGTCTGATGAAGGTGACAGTGTACATATCGTACTAATCATCGAAACGTCACATAGAAAATTGTTTCGGTTGTGTAAAAAGAACTTCTCATACAGTAGACAGGCTTCTCTGCTAGAGACTAGATTGATCTTAAAATCTTCCGAGTAGTTGACCATAGTTACTACACTAAGTCATTTAGCTTCAGATCAGATTGATACCACCATTATACATACTCCCACAAGTATATAACGAAGCATTGTTATACTGGCACCATTATACAATGAAACCTACTGCACCACTATACAGTTAAACCTTGATATACTGCCACCATTATAACATGAAGCTTTGTTATACTGCCACCATTATATAATGAAGCAGTGTTATACTGCCACCATTATACAATGAAACCTTGTTATACTGCCACCATTATATAATGAAACCTTGCTATACTGTCACCGTTATACAGTAAAAACTAGTTATACTTATACTGCCTACATTATGCAATGAAACCTGTTATACTGCCATCATTATACAGTAAAACCTTGCTATACTGCCATCATTATACAGTAAAACCTTGCTATACTGCCACCATTATACAGTAAAACATTGTTTTACTGCCATCATTATACAATGAAACCTTGTCTGCCACCATTATACAGTAACACCTTGTTATACTGCCACCATTATAACATGGATCATTGTTATACTACCACCATTATACAGTAAACCCTTTTGATACTGTCACCATTATACAGTAAAACATTGCTTTACTGCCACCATTATAACATGAAGCATTGTATTACTGCCACCATTATACAATGAAGCCTTGTTATACTGCCAACATTATACAATGAAACCTTGCTATACTGCCACCATTATACAGTAAAACCTGTTATACTGCCACCATTTTACAATGAAACCTTGTTATACTGCCACCATTATACAATAAACCTTGTTATACTGCCATCATAATACAATGAAACCTTGCTATACTGTCACCGTTATACAGTAAAACCTGTTATACTGCCACCATTATACAGTAAAACCTTGCTATACTGCCACCATTATGCAGTAAAACTTGCTTTACTGCCACCATTTTACAATAAAACCTGTTATACTGCCACCATCATACGGTAAAAACCTTGCTATACTGCCACCATTATACAGTAAAACCTTGCTATACTGCCACCATTATACAGTAAAACCTGCTTTACTGCCACCATTATACAATGAAACCTGTTATACTGCCACCATTATACAGAAAAACCTTGCTATACTGCCACCATTATACAGTAAAACCTGCTTTACTGCAACTATTATACAGTAAAGCAGGTTATACTGCCACCATTATACAGTAAAACCTTGCTATACTGCCACCATTATACAGTGAAACCTGCTTTACTGCCACCATTATACAATGAAACCTGTTATAATGCCACCATTATACACTAAAACCTTGCTATACTGTCACCATTATACAGTAAAACCTTGCTATACTGCCACCATTATACAGTAAAACCTCGCTATACTGCCACCATTATACTGTAAAACCTGCTATACTGCCACCATTATACTGTAAAACCTGCTATACTGCCACCATTATCCAGTTAAACCTGCTTTCCTGCCACCATTATACAATGAAGCATTGTTATAATGCCACCGTTATACAATAAACCTTGTTATAATGCCACCATTATACCATGAAACCTTGTTTTACTGCCCCCATTATACAGTAAAACCTGCTTTACTGCAACTATTATACAGTAAAGCAGGGTATACTGCCACCATTATACAGAAAAACCTTGCTATACTGCCACCATTATCAAATGAAACATTGTTTTACTGCCACCATTATACAGTAAAACCTTGCTAGACTGCCACCATTAAACAGTAAAACCTGTTATACTGCCACCGTTATACAGTAAAATCTTGCTATACTGCCCCCATTATACAGTAAAACCTGCTATACTGCCACCATTATCCAGTTAAACCTGCTTTCCTGCCACCATTATACAATGAAGCATTGTTATAATGCCACCATTATACAATCAAACCTTGTTTTACTGCCACCACTATACAGTAAACCCTTGTGATACTGTCACCATTATACAGTAAAACCTTGCTAGACTGCCACCATTATACAGTAAAACCTGTTATACTGCCACCGTTATACAGTAAAATCTTGCTATACTGCCACCATTATACAGTTAAACCTGCTTTACTGCCACCATTATACAATGAAACCTGTTATACTGCCACCATTATACAGTAAAACCTTGCTATACTGCCACCATTATACAGTAAAACCTGCTATACTGCAACCATTATACAATGAAACATTGTTTTACTGCCATCATTATACAATGAAACCTTTTCTGCCACCATTATACAGTAAAACCTTGCAATACTGCCACCATTATACAGTAAAACCTTGGTAAACTATTACCATTATACAGTAAAACCTTGGTAAACTGTCACCATTATACAGTAAAACCATACTATACTGCCATAATTTACATTTAAACTTTGCTATACTGCACCTTAAACACTATTCTGTTTTATTTATTCAGTCAACTTTATGTTTGTTGTAAGGTTAAATGTAGGAAACATACTCTCTTGATCTACTCAAATGTCCTTGTAATTCTTAAAAGAAATCTATCGTGATTACATTTAAACATTTTAAATAATAAAAGAGCTAAATACAACAAATTGTGTATATTTTTTATTTACATAAAGAATCAAGGTGTTAATGATTGAAGCAAAGATGGCAATACAGTTTGTGTGTTCCGTCATAACATGCATTCTTGTGCATAAATATGGGTGTACAGTGACGGCGAGCCGATGCTGTACCAGTGTTTCGAGCCAAGCGTTCACATACACGTTGTCGGGTATCACACCTTCTCGTCAAAACCAAAGCTTCCGTATTATCATGTAGATAAAATTGAGCTATTGAAGAGAAAAGTACACACATGGAGGCGAATCGTTGATCTTAGATATCTTCCAAAAACGAATATTCACTCTCACACTCCTTTCATAAACAAACACTGGGAAATGTTTACAAGTTAGTTATATAAACTAAAGAAAACATGAAAACAATCGGTTTCATGTCCACATTCCGACTCCCCAGAGTTGTCTATTACGTCACTTCCGTCGGATTCCTCAAAACGTGGGTAAAGATAGATAACTCTGATGGGCAAGAATGGCGGACAGTCACCTTGAATACTTTTGTTGGCGTAGCTCTCGTAAAATATAACAAAAACACGACAGTGCGAGAGCTTGGTTGACAGTAACCACCGCCATTCAATATATTAGCGGAAACATGTGTACAGAGTATATATCTCGAGAAATATGAGCTGTAGGCAAGTAATTATACACACAGATACATATACCAAAATTTTACACGTACGTATTGTTCTTCTCAAGGATTACATTACATATTTAATGACGTTAAAGCGACATATTGTCAGTATAAAAAACCGTTTTATCAAAATAACATATGAAAGTAAAATGCCCTGCATACACAATCACATGTTATCCTTAACAAGATGCTCAGTTTGAAGTGGGGGGAAACATGCGAACTCAACACAGTGAGAAAGAAGCCAGAAAACCGTGAGGCAAAGAAAGGGAGATAACCCAAATGATGATACATGGAATTATCATCGTTTTCAATTATTTTTGAAACATTTTTTTCCTTTATTCGCTCATTATTTGAGTTTTATTTTAGATTCCACACTCTTTTCATATTTAACATTTTTAAAGTTGTAACAACCTTGAGATTCTCAATCGAGCACGTCTCAGTACAACTGATGATAATTCTCTTCTTCCTTTATAGTCTTTTGAAATCATCTTTTTGTTATGATGGATTTTCTTTTTGGCAAAACAATTTAATGGTTTCATTAGCATATACTGTAAAATATCTGCCACACATTAACGTATAGAAAATACCGCCCGGTACTTCCTAGCTAAATGGACATGTGGTAATTATGACATCATCGATAAAATAGCATTTACATGTATAAAGAAAGAGGTAAAACAGTAGTTTGAAATACACAGTCGGCCAGGGTGGATCTGGCTATCTTATTATGCGCACTAACTACAAAGATTCAACGTACTTACACGTTCAGTACTGTGATAGCTAGCAATGACGAAAGTTGCCGAATTATGACGGATATAGCCGGACAATGACGGATATAGTCGAGAACTATGAAGTAAACAGTGGAACAATGACATAGAAAAGGAAACAGCGTAGTGGACTAACTACACTGGGTCAACTGCCTCGATCAATACCTTCACCATCAAGCAACTATTCCTCCACGAAGTGTCATATTAACTCTATATGTCTGACAAGTCACAAGTAACCGTTCGCACTGGCTATGTAAATAATGGGTGATTTGTGGACGAAGGGAAGATTACAAGACATGGACAGAAGAGACAGGTTATTTTCTATTCTTGTTTTTATTTCGCTAGAGCTTTTGAAAAATTGTCGGCATTTAACATTATAACTAGTCTACGTTGACCTCATTCCTCTGATTACGGCAATAAAAGAATATTTCCGAAAGATTAGGGGGAATCATAGCGTAAAGTTAAATCATTAGATGTTAACAGCTGTTCCAGGGAATATTTCAATACCAGAATAAATTGAGATTTCTGAGTAGAATTTTAAGTCTACTGCCAGATTTTTGTTTATTTAGCAATTTTAAAATTTTGGCTTTTCCCCAAATGATGGACTTTTTCCGTTTTTATTGTACAGGTATAATCTAAATAATCAACAACACTTAAAGTGATGACTTCATATACCGGATGTATGTTTTGCACGTCCTCTTTCAATGAGGGTTTTTGATAATTGAAAGCATAACTATTCATTAACTATGCACTTAACAGGTGTTGTACATCTTTTCAAATTAGATTATAAGAAATGATCGAGATTTGTGTTGGGTGTTATACAATATAAACCGAGAAATAAAGCTGTTTGAACTCTGGTGCATACACTGCTTCGAGTATTAATGTAAAGTGTTCACAGTTTTCGTTAAATAATGGTCTTGGTTATTCTTAAAATATTCTGAAATATTTTGAGTAGTCACGAAGTACAAGTTGGCTATAACATAAATGTACCAAATAGTTATCGCACCGATGTCAGAGAGAGATTTTACTCGTGCTAACATTGAATTAACCTAAGTATCACCTATCGATACACGAGCAATGGACATTTTTAAGGAAAAAAATACTACCCACATCAGCCCACTAATATGCCTGGTAGCCTAAAAGATACATACGAGTGTCAATAATTTAACCTTTGGCTAATAAAAGACACACACTTAACTATAGATCATGGAAGATGCATACGTTCATTGCAATGGCTCGGAGATATGAACACGTTTAATGTTTCATCTTCAGCTACAGGGTTTATGGTATGTTACTTGAATAACTATACTATATATTTATATATATATACGTTTATATATAATATATATTAAGTGAAAAAAATGGTAATAGTAACAATGCCATGCATTCATGGTTTAAAGGGGATACTTCAGATTGACATTTAATTCAATAAGTAATGTCCAATACATTTTTCTTCATCTGCAAAAATGAGCAATATTACGGTATTAACCACACTAGAAATAGCATGTTTCGGATTTTTATCAAGAAACTTTTTTCCGGTTTTTTGTTTTATGTACAACCGCCTGAATCCACCCCGCCACCTGTAAATATACTTTGGGTATGAGGAACATACACATGATTTCAGACTGGTTAAACATTGGACATGTATCATCTCGATAAATTATACATTACATTATATACCGATCACAAACAGTTATAACGAATAAGTATTTGCATAGTATTATGATTTCTAACTATAACGTCGGATACGATTCCAGTTTGTGACTACAGTACAAGTTGATTCACGACAACCGTCGAGATTCCCAATCACAATATTTTGCCCTCATGGTGGATATTTAGGAATACCAATATGTTTTTCATGGAGTGTATCTTTTCACAGAAAGCTATGTTCGTAACTGGCATGATGCAAAGAAGAAATCTTGTGATCATACCGCAGTGTAAACTTGAGATACATGGCCAAAATTTCTTTGCAAACAAGTCAAGTTTATTATTAATATATTAAAAACTAATTTGTATTCAAACATTTTTTGTTCAGTTGCGTTTGTGACTAAATATTGTTTAAGACTAAACTGGATGAAATAATATGACTTCATCGATTTTCTCCCCAGCGTTACACGATTGAATTTTAAAATGATAATGATTTCATAATTATCTAGGGGTGTTACAAGTTCAAATTACATTACTGTTATTATTATTAGTAGTAGTAGTAATATTTAACACATGGAATGGTATTGTTTTACAATATTATAATATATGAGGCATAATGCATTGGCTCTAGTAACACACATATGTAACATACGTCCTACCCGATTGGGCGGGATGACCCATGAATACAATTGCACAACCGCTAGGCATATCAATGAGTCATCAGTTCAAAAAACATTAAAACATAGATATTGTCTATAGGAAAACACACCGGAATAATATTAATAGCATATTAATTGTCTTTTGTTTTGACATTTCAAGGTTTCCCTTCTCAGACGGGTTACGGCAGCTGTTGATATGAGTTCGTGTATCCAGACCCGCGCAGTCGGTTACCGTTGTTTAGCTAAATTCGGCGGAGCGCAAGGATTTTTGAGTAAACAAGCTGGTCCCATTGTCACTATGTATGGGGATCAACTCTAACCATACAGTATTAATTTATATCTCTAGTTTTTAACTCTACAAAAGATCGAGATTACTAGAGTGGTAATGTTGCTTTAGTTCTTATACTACCCATACAATGAAATTGATCGTTCCTTCTTATACAAATCAGTAACACGAGAATATAAAAGCGAAACTTCTATGGAATTTCTGAGTTTTGCTTTAGAATAAAAACATCATTTTGTAGGTATAAAAGTTGCGTATGGGTATACATTTACTCATAATTAATACAATATATGATTTAAATTAACATGAGAGAGATGAAGTATTTTAAAAACGTAACTGGTATAAACTATTTAATATCACGTTTTAAAAGCTGTAGACAATACAATGACCGACAAAAACGGGGATGGGGGGGGGGGGGGGGGAGAATTTTTTCCGGATATGACGACCCGGATATGACGTTTAGACAGTACATTATGTTACCCGTATATCAACGTCAATAACTGAACTCGGGTTTGCTTATCATTCCTTAAGCTGCTTTAAGCAAATTTTCGAGATCCATAATTTTTATTTTTATATCATACAGTATATGTACAACTGTGTAGCAAATCTCAGATTGAATTGTCCTTTTCTACTGTGGAATTTTAATCAAAACATCCTTCCTTTACGCCATTTTCAGATTTTATTACAGGATGTTTGCTTTACAATAAACATCGTTCTAAATTTAACAACAAAGCAATCAAGCTTAATCACAAGCTTTAAAAAAGCATCATCCAAACCTTTTTAATGTGTAACTGTAATATCAACAAGTAATCTGTATTGTTTGCTTCTGAGATCAATTCCTTAACGAAATTCTGACTTAAGATCAAACTTATATAAACACCTAGTTAGCTGCTCCCGTCCAGAAAAAAATCTTTACAAATTGTTACACACACTTAATAACAGTAACCACGAGTCAATACGTAAGCAGTAGACGTCTATAATCTATTGTACTAGACATGGACAAGATTTATTGTGATGACGGCGAAAAGCCTGCTAAGATTACGGTATAAATCACGACTAGGATGACAATTCTGAAAGAGAAAGATAACTCGACGCATGCTTTTTCGCGACATGTTGAAATGATTTTAAAGCAAACGATTGTTTTCCTGTTTTAAATCGAAAGCGGACGAATTATATCGGATGTACTTCCTTAGTCGGGTTCTCTTGCATATTGAAGTCGATAAATTAGGTAGCTATCGTAGGTCAAATATGCGGCGGACAAATTTCCTGTCTTTATTCTGATAAAACTACAGATCAGTCGACTTTAATCTATCAAGTTCTCAAACGCACGTTGACGTTTTTCTTTCTCTTATCCCCTAGACACACGTTCTATTAAGTTGACGGATTAGCACAAATAGTTGTGTACATTTGGTTTTCCTTTTTGGTGCACGAGCTGTATACAGTTTTATAAAAGTGGTGCTGCGACATTGTTTCATTTGAAATCATAATTTTGTGATTCGATAAGTAACTGCTCAATAGGATAAGGTAGGCACAAGCAGAGGAGAAATGTAACAACAATTAAATCAGTTTAAATTTGTCTCACAGTTCGAGTTGGGAGATACATAATGATATACGTATATATACACACATTGAATAACATGAGATTGCATCCTAAGAGCGGTAAATGGAAAGACATTCTGATCAGTATTGAGTACCTCACCTATGACCAAATACCTATTAAAATATTAGCATAACGCTACCAACACGCGGATCCTTCAATGACCAGTATTCAAATTAACAACAGACATACGAAGCCAATGTTTCTACCACCATGGCCTCACAAGCTCATAAGCCAGCTGCAAATCTGTTCCGTCCTTTCAAACTGGACGTGAGTGATATTCAAACTGTTTAATCACGCTACCACGTCGCTATCCGGCCCTAGTTCGACCGTTTTTTGTTCTGAGGGAGTAATCACTTCAGTTTCCTCCTCTCTTTTTTCTACTTGGTCGTCGTTCTCGTCCACTTTCTTTTCAATTTCGAGTTTTTCCTGAGGTGTTGTGTCGGCCATTGCCTCATCGTATGACATAGGCGGTAAACCCAGGTCCCCTCGCCTCTGTCTATAAGCCCGATACGCCTTCTGGATGAGTCGTGCTGCATAATGTTCTTTCTGTCTCATGAGAGTCGAACTTATCGGATTATATTCCACGTTCTCCTTCGGACCACCCGCTTCCGCTGGAATATCTCCAGTGTCTGATGTTCCAAGGAAATTCTTTGTCAAAGCATCTAAGATGTCTCTACAGAAACACTTATCTCCTTCACAAATGGCTATATCTAATTTCACAAGAAGGAAATGATTTGGTTTTGGAACTCTTAAAGGTTCTTCTAGATAATCTACAAAATCTGATAACTTGTCTAACGCTATAAATTGTGTTGCTTCCGGATCGAACTTTTCCCACTTTTCGTAATACATATCAAAATCATCTGGAGTCAGTCCTTGTTGGACGTCCTCTGTTGCCTGACTGAAGTTCTCCAGAATCACCGCTATATACATGTTTACTACAACTAGAAAGCTGATGACCAGGTACGTAACGAGATAGCACACTGCTGTTCCATATATCCCGCAATTACCCTCCTCTGGCTCACAGTCTTCTTCATTAGAAAGCCCAGCAAGGGCTGAATCCCAACCTGCAGAAGTACACATTTGGAATAGCATTATAATACTCCTACCGAAGGTTTCGAAATTGAAGCAATCGTCCAACCCACCTGTGTGTTTCACGTGCATGAAGAAGTTCATTCCAAATGTGGCATAGATAAACATCACTAAGAATAGCAACAAGCCGATGTTAAACAGAGCTGGTAGCGATACTGCTAACGAGAAAAGTAAGGTTCGAATTCCTTTTGCCGATTTTACTAATCGTAAAACACGTCCCACTCGGAAGACACGCACGACTCGCAATAAAGTTGGCGATACAAAAAAAGCCTCCATGGCATCAGCAAGCACAATACCTGAAACAAAGTTAAATAATATTGATACAAATTAATTGCACATGTGATTTTAACTTAAAAATGGTCACGTCTCAGGTATAATCACCATCCAAACAAGTGAATTCGTGGAACACATGTCAGCACCTACCAATGAGTCACCGTAACGTAACAACCACTCAACACTGAAACCTTTAACACATTGTCATATTTCATCAACCCTCGAACAGTCCAATTTGGTTAAACAAGACATGAATTGTTAAGACAACAACGGGAAACGACAACCACTTAGAGTTGAGGACACACCAGTAATGTAATTGAGTATAAACGGATTTGTATAATCTTCAAACCTTCCATGAGCGTTGTCATTGTGCAACTAGAAACTAATTTCTCCGGAATAAGTCGGCCATTTAGAATCTAAGAAGTAATCGATACCCCCACATGAACTTAGCCTGAGTAATGTCAGTTAGATAGGGAACAAGAAGTTTAGATTAAATCCATAAATATTTACTAAAGATATTGACCGCTAAACAGCGTGTGACGGACTGACGATAGCCATATATTCCAAAACAAACAAACAAACAAATGGCAGTTATTCTCTTATATATCAAATCGTTCCATATGATTTCAAACACAACTGAATTCAACTAAAAAACTTTTTTGACAACATCGAAAACATAATATATACAATTTGTTAATATCTGATGTTTTACCGGTAAATTTTAAATTATTACTACATTGTGTATATATTTACCTTGAAAATTTTAATTAAAATAAAATGTATCCCTTTAAAATAAAAGGAAAAAAGATTTACAAAAATTAATGTCGAATAAGTTACTCACCTAATACAGACAAAACTACCACAACGAAGTCGAATATGTTCCATGGAATTTTGAAGTAATATTGTCTCAGTCCTATTATTTTGAGCAAGCATTCAATCGTGAAAATAATGATGAACGAAAGATTGATGTAATATAGCACATCACTGAAGAGAGGCGTCTGTTTGTAGTGCTCCATTGCCATGGTAACCATATTCAGCATTATGACAAGCATGATGCCAATATCAAACATTTGATTCGATGTGATGTCGAAAATGATGGCTGCAGCCTTAATCTGAAAAATAAAAAAATAACACAATGCAGTAGGATAGGGTATCATATTTTAAAAACAAAACATGACCATATAGAATAAAATCATTACAAAAGGTTAATAAATAGGCAAAAAATGAAATAATGAGGTTGTATGTTTCATCTAATATCAATCCCAGTATACGCCTAAAAAGATAATAATCCTGAAAGCTTTTTACGACATTTGAATATTTCTACGTAATGTATGCAATATCAAAACTACGTTTAATACGTACATTGTTTGTGTAAAGAGTAAAACTTTGATTTCTACGAAATGTTTTTTATTATTATTATTAATTATGATATCTTAAAACGTAAAATAAAGAAACCACAGTAACGCGGTTCTTGTGAATGTACATTAACCTTGGACAGTATCTACAGTGAATATACTGTATTATGATTTTAATCAGAATTTCATTCAAGACTTTTCAAATGTTTAATGTGGTTTATAATAACTAGATAAACATTGAAGAGCCATGACAAGAAAACATGAATAGGAGAAAAGCAAATGTATTATAAATCTGAATTAAGTTGATGCTTAATTTACATTAGATAAGGAATATGCAATTCAAAAATAAGACATTAATTTAAAAAAGAATACATTAGTACAAGTATTTAAAGTTTGAGTGAGAAATAATGAAAAAAAAACGTGCATATATATCAAGACAGCCTAACACAAATCAAAAGTGAAATATCAGATATGATTTAAAGTTGTCATGAACGCTACAAATGCACAATGCATCGATAAATAGCCTAGTAATCATTGCATTATATGATATATTCTTGAATAAATATATTACTATGGAAATATCATATAAACTATTATTTTGAGTGCTATAATTTGATTTGATACGACCAACAACACCGAATAGGTGATTTTATTAATTTTCGAACTAAGAATCACGAAAATACGTATATTGAAAAGAAAATAGTTAACATATATTGCAATATATTCAACAATTTTTCGTTATAATTCTAAAGTAATGAAAATGTTATTTTTTAACTTATCGCGAAAAAAAAGAATCATCTAACTTAGATATCGATATGTTATGATTCCGAAAATAAACAAACAAACATCATTCAGTTATTTTTAACATTTTAAAATGGAGCCCGTTTAACTCGAATACGCTTTTTGTTTTTCTAATCAGACATGTATAATATAATCAGCTTTTAAAAATTTACTTTTACTTCATTCTTCTTTTTTCATCTTATTTCAAACATTATATATAAATATCCGGACTGAGTAGGCTTCACTGATTACTTTTATCTTAATGCTATGAGGATTTGGTATAACATCAAGATGCTTAGCAAAAGGTGCAGTGCAAGAGTTTTATAGAATATATATGCTAACGATATACACTACTGTCGTAGTGGGCATGCAAGCACACGAACATGCAGACAATGTGCATATACTGGGACACCACATCAAAAGGATTATATCTATTGAACCGAGCGAATGCTATACTGTTTTCTGTGTTAAGTAAATCCGGTGTCGGTATTCATGTGATTTATCACATTTATTGATTTCAATTTTGAAACACAGGTTACCTTGAAACATGGTACACAATGAAGCTTTGCGATTTTTTGCTTTTTCGCAATAAACTTATTCGTAGATAAATAGTTGTAATTTTTCAAGAATTAAACCAAACTAACACAGAAAAGAGTTTTGGCATTTTTGTTTAGATAAAGGTTTCATTAGGTTAGTATTACAGGATTACAACCAAGATACATTCAAGGGATGAAATGCAGGTATGGTGGGAATTTTACCATTCAGTTAACAGCAGAACATTTTATTCTTTTCTGAATTTAACTGTACAATATTATATTCTGTTGATGACAGTTCCTTTATCTGTGCTGTTGATGAAAACGTTATAGCGAAATACGCGTCACCAAAACAGTCTTGTAGAGACGCAGAATAAATCTCAATCGTGAAATTATAAACGAAATAGAAAATCAACTAAAAACATGGTTCGATCTGATATTAATATATAGTTATTATCATTGAAAAGTTTCGGTGACATTTTGCTATGAGATAACTTTAAAATGATGGGTTAAACAGTTGAAGGAATAATTTAAAACTTTACTTGAATCATTTGTGCGATAAAGTCACGCATTCATTTCAAAATTACTTTAATGTTTAAACGCATACGACTGAAAACAAACTGATGAGCAAGAATGGTCGGATACACAGGCAATCACTTTGGTACTCATCCACGCGCGATAATTGGCATTGTATATAAGGGATGTCATGCTTACTTCTAATTTTAAAGTCAAATGACACATATATTATTTTAATACAAATCATGAACTTAATTCATAACAATGATATATTACAATGAAACTAGCATCCATATAAAAATGTTATTAAGTAAATAAATTCACAACGAAAGATAAAAACAATTTCAACACGGTGAAACGGGGTAAAAATTCAAATCAGCATATCGGCATTCTATTGAATTGAGTGCTGTGCTTTAGTAAAAATTTAAAAAAAAATCCTCTGAATTCTGATAAGATGCACATCCAATCTAGTTGTTTAGCTAATGTGTTCACAACTCCTAGAACAATAATCGAGACGAAGAGAAATTTGTGATTTTGATACAAAATATACTACTGTATATTCTATCGATCTAAAAATGTTAAAATGTGAACGATAGATAGAAAATAAGTGCATCTATTCAGATGAACAAGAGGAATTATTTAAACTAACAGATGGTTTTGGTATTGATTTCTGGGGAGCTTTTGATGACATCCTCTTCATAGCCGCGTAATACTTTTTCTGGTCCTCGGTCATAAACATCTCAAGTGACCCACCAGCCTGCAGAAGGATATGTACACATTGATCAAGTTAGGAAGAGACAAGTACACATGCACCAAGCCAGCAAAGCAAGGATGTCACAGTAGAAAAAGGCACAGATACAACGCCCACATAGACTGACATTGACCAATCAACGCCTTGTATATGACACAGGGAGACTTGAGTGACAGGCCACAAGAGAAGTCATAGGATCTGCTTAGATTATATCATATGCTTGCTTTTAACTGACTTCTGGTCTAGGAATTGATTTCTGGGGTGCTTTGGAAGCCATCCTCTTCATTGCTTTGTAGTATTTCTTCTGATCCTCTGTCATGAAGAGTTCTATAGACCCTCCTGCCTATTAACAGCGAGAATGTGATACATGATGATTTTAGAGGCAAAAATTGAAGAGTTACTTCCCCATGATTATGTCTTGGCTACCTACCTGAGTAAACCAATAAAACGGTACTTACAAAACTCAAACAAAATACCACCAGCAGTAAGCTTGAAACGTAATAAAAAAAAACGCCTGGTGATATATATTTTGGCATGAATAAGAAAAATCATGTCATCTTTTCTAAATTGTTATCGGTAGCTTTATAATTTGAAATTTCCTTTCCAGTGGAACTCTTGCCTTCCTTACCTTTTTCTTCTGTTGATTGAAGTTGTCGATGATGACACCTATAAACAAGTTTAGCGTGAAGAAGGACCCAAAAATAATGAAGAAGACGAAATACAGATAATATAGGATGCTGTTTTCCCTTAGTGGCTGTCCGTTCAACTGCAATTAAAAAAGAATAATAGAATTGTATAAATTATCAAATATAACCAAAGCACTTGATTTCCTTATTGTTATACTTAGATAGTTGTACTTGGGAATGTAAATACTATCTTGGCTCCAGATAAATGCATTGACTATGATTATGTATCTACTACATTAAGTGACATTGAGCTTACCAGCTTTTAAACAAAATTACACTCATTCACTCAAAATATAAATAAAAATCTGTCATTTAACTCTCGTACGTATACACCCATGTTATTATTAATGTTCTACTGTAATTTACAAATTTAATTTTAGTCAGGTAAAATAAATTGAATCCATGACGTTATATACCTGCGTGATGTCAATTGCATCATCCATGATTACAGTCCATCCCTTGTATGTTGCCTAAAATTTATACAGATATAACGTCATTTGTAATCAGAAAGAAAGATTATAATTATATAAGGAAATATGACAATCACGTATATATAAAAGTATAAAAGATTACAAAAAATTAACATAAAAAATATTCGATGTTGAAATATTTCGTTTCTTTATTTGGTGATATCATTTTTTATTATTAAAAAGCTAAAACAACTTTATTATCTTGATGTTTGTTCTTGAAAGTGTTATTTTCATTGACTGATGAACAGGAAAAGAAGCCTTGAGACCTAAATACGTACCACTTGGAACAGAGCTAGATAAGCATTAAGGACATTGTCAAAGTTCACTCTAGCGTTAATCCACTTAAATCCTTCGGTGCTATTACAAATAGTCATGTTCGGAATAACTGATGGTAACACCTTAATTCCTTCTGAATCGATACATTTATGAAATTTTCCAGAGAAAAATTGCACTCCAACAATACCGAAGATCAACCAGAAGACGAGACATACAAGCAGCACATTGAAAATGGAAGGTATAGCTTTAATCAGAGCGTTGACGACCACCTGCAAACAAAGTAAAATATTTTTATAATAAAATACTCTTTCATTTTCGATAAATATAATGTCCTCTACACATAATTAAATTTGTAATATTTGAAGAAAAAAAGAAAAGAACTTTACCATAAATAGATGGGATAGTTTCGTGTTTTTTTTTTTTTGTTGTTGTTGTTGTTGTTGTTTTTGCTTTTGCTTTTTCTATTAGTGAAATAAAATCAATCTTTGAAGATATTGTTCATTGGTTGGATGTTACATAGCAGAGATCAAAAACAAATACTGAAACATGAACGGTAAAAGCTCCTATTATCCTATATATATTACCAAATTCTGCCCCTTGTTAGAAAATTATTTGCTTTTTTGAAAACGCCATAATATCAACTTTTGTCAACCAACAGCAAAGCAAACAACGGATTATAAAAAATGTGATGAAAGGTGATAGGTCTAGCTACCACACAATATTAAATTTTAAGGGATCAAAAAACTGTCGAGATGACCCATTAAGTCGAATAAACACTGACTTGTAACTAAATCAAACGATGACGAGATGACCCATTAAGTCCAATTAACACTGACTTGTAACGTGATCAAACAATGACGAGATGACCCATTAAGTCGAATTAACACAGACTTGCAACGTAATCAAACGATGTCGAGATGACCCATTATTACGAATTAATTTGTAACGTGATCAAACGATGACGAGATGATCCATTAAGTCCAATTAACGCTGCCTTGTAACGTGATCAAACGATGACGAGATGACCCATTAAGTCCAATTAACACCGACTTGTAACGCGATGAAAGGATGACGAGATGACCGTTTAAGTCGAATTAACACTGACTTGTAACGTGATCAAACGATGGCGAGATGACCCATTAAGTCCAATTAACACTGACTTGTAGCTTGATCAAACGATGACGAGAAGACCCATTAAGTCCAATTAACAATGACTTGTAACGTGATCAAACGATGACGAGATGACCCATTAAGTTGAATTAACACTGGCTTGTAACGTGATCAAACGATGGCGAGATGACCCATTAAGTCCAATTAACACTGACTTGTAGCTTGATCAAACAATTATAGTTTTTGTGAAGACCATTACTCTTTAACCACTTTCACTAACACGGTGTCAATAACGGATGCGACTTCCGCCCCTTACGTTTCACTAGCGGTAGGGCAACACCAGATTATGACAGAATCGGTACCTCACTGTCATTCTATCTATAGGGGGTGGTACAAGCGGATTAATGAAATATCAATTGCAGGCAAGGTAAATATCAATTCTGTAAATATATGAAATATCTGTTAAATTTGAAATGATGTTCGTTCGGGCTTGTTCATAACATTTTGATAAGATAATCTATTATAAACTGCCTGCTAAAACTTCAACGATTTTTCTTTAAATGAAGTGGGTACATGCTGAACACACTTACCCTCATTCCCTCCCATCTAGATATAGCTCTGAGGGGACGAAGAGCTCTTAGGGTCCTCATTGCTTTGAAGGCTCCAACCTCACCAGTTCCCATGAATTCAGCCACCAACATTACCAGGGAAATCTGAAAGGATCATAAAACATCAGTGAAATAATTGAACGGTGGTCCCACAATGCTTCAATAATTGGCCAATCTCGAGCAATGTATCTTTACTACTAGGCAGAGTAGAGCAAGCCAACAAAATACAGGTGTAATAGTTGGGCGGTCCTACAAGGCTTCCATAATTAGCCAAAATTCAAGCAGACATCCTTAGTACTAGTCACGGTAGAACTAGCTAACACAATTTAAGTGCTGATGGATACGTCGTATGAAAACCTACTTTACACAAATGTTAAACGTTGTTGGAACATTTCTTGTTCATGATTATAATCCAGATTTTTTTTTATAAATGCTGTGTATTACAAATTAATCAGTATCTTTTGTCAGTAACAAGTATTCGATTTTCGTTCTCACTGAATAACTTGATGGATATATTAACATAGAAGACAGAAAAATATCAACCCGAATGGTAAGATTCTTAAATGTCTAGCCCGATGCTCTATCGAGGGCCAGACATTAAAGAATCTTACCCGATGGTTGAGGTTTGTCCGTCTTACTCCTAGAGAGGAGTTTGATTATTTTTCTCCAACATAAAATACAAGCGGTAATTTCACGAAATGTAAACAATGATTTCAAAATTTCAAGCAGATCGGAGTTGTCTTCCTTAATCTGCTACTGTTGACGTGATGTCAATGCAATTGTTATGACATGGAATTTCCAAATCTACTCTAGGGTAAGACAGGTATATATATATATCCCTGATCGAAAGTGTGTAAAAATGGAGGTTCAGGAACTTACAAGAACAATGACAAAGTCAAGCCAACACCATGCATCTGTAAAGTACTTCTTGTATCCAAAGGCTAGCCACTTAACAAACATTTCCAGGATGAAGATTGTAGTGAAGACTTTATCCATGTAGTATAATATCGCTTTCAAGATAGGCCTTTCTGGTAGGTATATGTCCTCAATCGCCTGTCAAATAGAAACATAATGGAACGTCTGTGACCAGAGTAATAAAAGATAATGATGAAAATGTTTTACTTGAACAGTTCAACTATATTTTCAAAAATGTACAAAGAAGAGGAAATCAATTCCAGTGAAAAGCAAGTTATGTATACTTTGCGGGTCATATGGTAAGACAATGCGTTCAATTGGCTTAATTCCTCAAAACAAGGATGTATACAACGATTTCTAAATGTTTGCACCAACTAAAATAAAGGAAGCATGAGTCGGCCTGCATCATTTACAAACTAATGTGCATGGACGGAGGAATTGTATTCATATCAAAATGTTCTCGAAATAATAATTACTATAGCAAAATGTTTTGGCCTGATGTTGTTGGGTTTTTTTTTTCGTTTTTTTTTTTTTTTTTTTTTTTTTTTTTTTTTTTTTTTTTTTTATCTTGGAAGGAATATCAAGAGAGCATGTAAATATCTGTATGAATATTAGAAATGGTGCAGCACCAGCATCAACCTATATTGTGGTCAAATCATGAGCTTAAAGTGGTACAATTTACAGATACTATTTCAGGAAACACCAGGAGTATTCAGGGGTTATATGGCACGGAGCGGTTTTATGCACAAAATTGCCCGCAGTTTGTTTCGGTATTTACCGTATAACTCCCCAAAACTAATCATTGTTATCCCTTATAATCTAATTTTAAAAGACAGACAAAACTTGTTCATTCATAGCGGATGTATATTCATTAATTTCTGATAAAAATAAAACCCAGAATAGTTTTGAACAAAACACAACATGGCGCTTTTATTTTATTGTCGAGCATCTTTAACCAATCAGAAGTTCTGCGCCGAACATTGCGGTATACGACGCCATTACCTTTCTGTGTTGTTTATTGTTAAGGTTATACAATATCACCTGTAAATGTTTAGCATAAAGGATAATGAACTATAAATAAACAATGCCAATATCTTACCAATGCTAGGCTACTGGCCAGGATCATAATGATAATGAACTATAAATAAACAATGCCAATGCCTTACCAATGCTAGGCT